ATTTTGTTTTGCGTACATAAGTCTTGAGTGACTAATCACATGTATAACTTGTTTGTGTCTCAACGGTGTTGTAACTTGTGTCTTCTAGAAGAAAAGATCTATTGAAGACGTACGCTAGCTACAACTCTGGTGATCCATATATGTTCACTGCTTTGCAATAGCTTTAATGATCTCAAGATAACGTAACGCTAGAAGTCCTCAGTTTTTCCTAGATCTAATTGTTGATTTTGGCATATTTTCCTTTTTTATATAAAGCCATCATCATGGTGACGATTGAATAACTCGGTCATGACTTTTTGTCAAACATCTGATGCATTAACTCTTATGTTGTCAGATTCCCAATTTGTGAACTTCATTGTATTGTTATTCAACCTGGGATCGTTAGTATAACTCTCTTCATCTTATTATAAGAATAATAAGAAGACCGAACAAACCAATAAGAACTGAAATACAAGATTTCCCAACCAAGATAGATTGATTTTTGCTCAATATATATCCAAAATTATGCCTCAACAAAGAGTAAAACCTTTTTCTACTCGATTAAACTGATAATCATGACTCTATCTTTCTACTACTCAAGAGCCTATAATATGATGATAACAAAGTTTGTTCGAAAGAGACACAATCTTAACCAATTTTTTCTGAAATCAAAACTCTTGGCTTGAATAAATTGGTATGTATAGGTAACATGTGAATTGTGAGCTAACTTAAATAATTTCCAGTTTGTCAAAATACAAGCATTTAAGAGCTCTGTTTACAATATTATGTGATTATATTTACTTGCAATCTCAGAAGTGTTTTTTTGTTCTTCAGAATTATCTATTTGATTAAAAAAATTTATTCATATCAGGATAACCACACAAATCTTGTGACCAATGGAAGCTAGTATCTAGATGCAACTTGGATAATATGAAGCATTTCTATTGTTATTCACTTTTTCAGTTAACTGAAAGAATTGCGTTCCAAATCTAGATATATCGACCAAAAGATATATATGGGTAGATATACCATGTGCATTGACCAAATTCCCTTTTCACAATATTATGATCAAACGGCTAATACAATAGCATATACTTCTACTTATATCTATAGCTAATTGACTATAACTCCAAAGTAAGATAATGTCAACCATAAAGAACATTAGGGAACTTTTAAATTATATCGGGAAGCTAAGAGAGCAAATATCAAACAATAAAATTGCTATTGCGCATCATTTATTTTAGTAAACTTAGTTCACAACAATGTAAAACAACAAACAAACTTTATTACCCACCAAATCAGAGGGCAAAACAAAGTACTGTAAGTGAGAGCTAATTTGCAAAAACTATGTGAATTATAATATGGTTTGATTTATATGTTTCAAATGGTTTAAAACATTCCTCAGTCTTTCCCAATGTTGCTCGTATTTCCACCAGACTGTCATTCCGAGTTTTGATCCCTAGTCTTCTCTTTTATATAACAAGCTTACAATTTTTCCATATTTGAACGCTTACCTTGTCCTGATTTCTTCGGGCGGTCAAAGTGATTTTCATAGGTGTTGTCTTTCCTTGCCATGTCCAACTAAAGTGAAAGTGAAGCAACTGGAGAAGGAATCGATCTTTTTTCATCAATCCCTTCATTCTCAAAGACATGGTCGAATCAAATCTAGCGGTCCATGTACTTATTGGTCAGGCTGTTTTAAATTCGTGAAAATAGCTATAAGCTTTCATCTTTAGAATGCTCAAACAAATGATAACGAACTCAGATGAATTGGAAGTTTCCTGCAAGTAAATCGGCTTGAGATAGATATTAGTGGGCGAGGTTCAAACTATGTGATCATAAACCTATTGTTAAGCTACCGATTGTGTTACATATCACACACATAAGCAAAAAAAATATATTGGCTTCAAATCCCATGGAAGTAAAGCAGCCAAACACAAGTAATGAATTGAACTCTAGAACGTGACTTTTCTTGAATTAATACAACTTACCTATAACTTGAGAGTGCCCAGAGCCATAATGGTAAAATGTTTAAAATAAAAACTTCAAAATATACGAGATCTAACGAACGCTAAGGTTTTTACCTTTTTTTGTTGCCAAAGATCTGACCACAATCAATGTGCCGATATCCGGACATAAGGGAAGTATATTCAGTTAGTTTACGTGAATGACTGACCAATTTAGCTACGGAGTTGACGATAAGTCTTAAAGCTCTACAATCAGTGACCAATCATCAAGGTTTATTTAAAAAGGTCAAGATAAACCTAAACAGAAACAAAAATAAAAAAGAGGTCATCATGACGAAGCCGCAAATTACAGACAAACCTTAACAACAGCGTGGAAAGCGTTTCTCACGAGATCAAGATCACCCTCCAGTGTCTTGAGATGACCGATGGTATATTCGCTCCAGAGTTAAAATAAAAAAAATCTAAATTCATCTGAAATCGTCAATGCTAGCGAGATGGTTTCGCCCAATGGAGGTAGGCAGAGAGGAACATTTACCTCATAATTCGTAGGGTTTAGCTTGGAAACAAGTTTAGGATTCCGATTTTTAATCTTTTGCTTTGGAGGAGTAATGAAAGAATCGTCGAAGGTGGAAGAGGACAAGGCAAAGATGCAGAGAAAATATAGGATTTTACCAATGAGGATTCTCAGCATCTCAATGATAAATTTTTTTTTTTAGGGAGAAGGAAGAGGAAGAAGTTAAGGATCGATTATAATACATATATTAGACCATGTACATCAAAGAAACTCTTTGAATGATCCTTAATAATATTTTAATATTTTTTTTGATGTTAAGAAAAATTAACAAATTTTCATACTTTTCTTCATCCATTAGTGAACCTGAGAAAGGTTTCTTATGAATAAAAAATAATATTTATAAAAAAAAAAAATTTCTTCAATAATTTAAAATTTAAACATACAATACATATATAAGAAGATTTTAAAACATGACATAAAATTTTAAAAATACAAAGAACAGATATTTAAATTATAGAACATGTAAGTTTTATTCTTGAGAAGTTCCAAACTTGTAGACATGCTCAATCAAATCCGCTTTCAAACGGTCATGCATTTTTCTATCACGTATATCATTTCGATTGCTGATTAAATTGGTGAGGTTTGTAGGCATATTCGTAGAGTACGTCATGTCTACTTCTGAAGTTCTGATTGATTCTCCTTGTTGGAATTCTTGAATGTTATACTGGGTGTAGCCACTTCGTTCGTTTTCTACTATCATGTTGTGTAGTACGATAGATGCTCGCATAATTTTTCCAATTTTTTCCTTATCCCAAAAAAGAGCTGGATTTCTGACGATTGCAAATCGGGCTTATAGAACTCCAAAAGCACGCTCGACATCTTTTCGGTATGATTCTTGAGCCGTAGCAAAACGTGTTGCCTTATCACCTTCAGGAATTGGAATAGATGGTATAAAAGTTGTCCATTTCGGATAAATTCCATCAGTGAGGTAGTATGGCAACTTATACTTGTGTCCGTTAACCCAATATTGCACTTTAGGAGCTCGACCTTGTAAAATATCGTCGAAAACAGGTGAACGGTCAAGAACGTTAATATCGTTTAGAGTACCTGGAGGCCCAAAGAATGCATGCCATATCCAAAGATCGTATGATGCCACCGCTTCTAAGACAATTGTTGGTTTTCCAGAACCACGTGTATATTGCCCTTTCCAAGCGGTAGGACAATTCTTCCACTCCCAATGCATACAATCTATGCTTCCTATCATCCCGGGAAATCCCCGTGACTCTCCTTTTTCGAGTAGTCGTTGAAGATCTTCTGGAGTGGGTCTTCTTAAGTACTCATCTCCGAACAACTGAATTATTCCTTTAGTGAAATTTTCCAAGCATAACAGTGCAGTACTAGTACCTAGTCGGAGGTATTCATCAACCGCGTCTGCCGCACAACCGTATGCCATCATGCGAATTGCTGCCGTGGCCATTTCTTCTTTGTTGAAAGTACGGAATTTCTGTGGAAAAGCAATGAACAATGTGCAGGAACAACTCCTTGTTCATTCGAAAACGGCGTCGAAATATATGAGGCGGATATGTTGCACCTTCACTAAAATAGTCGTTCCATAAGCGGATGTGGCCTTGCTCGCGTTCTCTTTCTATGTATGCGCGTTTTTTTTCTGCCTTCTTTCAGTCTGACGGTCTACAACAGCATCAAACATATCATCATATTGTTGTTCGTACAACTCATCAAATGCTTCATCAAAAACTTCATCCAAGGCTTCGTCCAAACCATCGTGTGATGATGATGCCATAATTATAAACAAAAATTGATGACGAAATGAGGAAAAGAAATTTATAAGCTTTTTGTGTTTTTAGAAGTTATGGAAAAATAACAAGAAATGTAGAAGTTATGGCATCATAGTTCGAAAGGAAATAGGAGAAGAAGCTATGAATATCGAAGGAGAAGAGTTCTTTGCGGATGAATATAAACTTTGCTTTGTCTACAATATATAGAGAATGGAAATCGATGTTATAGAACTACCACATATGTGGATTACAATATGTGGTCTACAATTCAAAGTGTGGACTACCATACATTTACAAATCCCGTGACATAAAATTACAATATGCAAAATCCAAAAGCAAGGACAATATCTCAAAAAAACCAGAAATTACAATATCAGAAATGATTGTAAAGGACAAGACTAAAAATAAAGCTTGGACAACCAATCAACTTGAGCTCCCACTTGAACCAGCTCCCATCTCACTCCTACAAAGAAACACGAACAAAGCATTAGTGAAAACAACTCCAAATCACATATTCCATATCAATATCAAAGAATCAAATTCAGCAAACAATATATTACATACGAAACTGGATCATACAACCGATATTACATATCCAGAAACCGATATCACATTTCCAAAAACAAACCACAAAGCCACCAACGGATATGACATAGCAACACAGGAAACTTAACAACTTGAAACAAATACAAACCACAAAGCCAACAGAAACAGCAACTTAAACTTAAAAAAACTTCAAACTTCTTATCCCAACAGTTCATTCAACAGCTTCATCTTGACTGCTTCTTCAGTCTCAGACAATGGTGGAGGTTTAGCGAGTAGAGTTTCTAGCACTTTGGTCCTAGCAACCTCATTTTTCAAGGCAAGGTCAATCTGCTTGAGTTCCCACATGTTTTTAAAGCTCTTCTCACGTTCTTTAGCAACCTCCTCTTTAGCACCGCCAGCATCAAGCCCTTTCTTCTTTGCAGCCTTCGCGGCCTTCACACCAGGCGGCCTTGCCATGCTAACATCTTCTCCATCAGATTGGGTTTCTGAACTTGATGGATGCACCGAAGTCCCACCAGCCTTCCTTCTTTTTTGGCTGCCACCATCTTTAACCGTGGAAGCAGAGCACCACTTCTGGTCGTGTCTCAGTTCCCTCCAACAATGTTCAAGGTTGAACTTGAACATGTAATCGTTGTAGAAGATGTTATGTGCTGCCTTCATCACGTCATCTTCATTTTGTCCACTCCTTTGCTCCTTCATGGCAGTTTCATAACACCCAACAAACTTACAAGTGAGGTCGTTAATCCTCTGGCACCTCTGCTTAAGCTGACCAGACTCTCTGTCTTGTTCAGTTGCTAGCGTTTTTGAAGAGTTGAAGTAATTGGTGATTCTTTTCCAAAAAGTAGATACTTTTTGTTCATTTCCGATGACAGGGTCCTTAGATGTATTCAGCCAAGCGCTTATCAGCACCACATCCTCCACATGAGACCACTTCCTCCGTTCTTTGCGCTCATCACCAGGAAAACTCGGCTGCTCAGTTACTTGGCTGCTAAACAATGGAACTTGAGAGGAGCCAATGTCTACCATCGGAGAAAAACAGAGAGTTTGTTCCTCTTGACTTGTCAAGAGGTTTACAAACCCCTGTGATTGACTGTATTGGTTAGTACCATCCATGTCCGAGAGATTTTTTGAAGAGAAGTGAAGTGTTTTGGAAAGTTTAAGAGAGTTTATGAAGAGAGGTGAAGTGTTTTGGAAAGTTTAAGAGAGTTTATGAAGAGAGGTGAAGTGTTTTGGAAAGTTTACGTGAGTTTATGAAGAAAGTAAATGAGAGTGCTGAGAGTTTTTGATAGGTTATAAAGAGAGAGAGTGTAGAAGCGGTTAAGACTTTAAGAGAGTTTTAAATTTTTAAAGTTTAAGAGTTGGAGTTTTAATAAATGAGAGATTTGAAGTTTTGGAGAGTTGAAATAAATGAGAGTGTTGAGAGTTTTTGAAGTTTAGAAGTTTTAAACATTTAAAGATTTACAGTTTCAGAGTTTTTAAGTTTTAAAGTTAAAGAAATAGGAGAAGAGTTGAAGTTGAATGTTTTTAGAAAGCTTTTGATGCAATCAATGCTTGAAAATAGCTTTAAGTCAATCACTTGATATCCTAAACAACCAAACCATTAAAACCCTAAACCATTAAAACCACAACTCAAAAACAATAGCTTTATGTTAAACCAATATTTACTCTTCACCTAACCCTAAACAACTACCACACTTTAACACACAATCCTATCTAACCGAGACTTAACTATGAAACTAACTACTTTTTAAGTTCTTGTAAGGAATGAACTAACCTCTTCAGAATGAACAATCTTATGTACTAGATCATGTGAGCTTGCAAAGCCAACCACCCTGCCAAACGAAATAACCAAATTATCATAGACAACACTCACAAAACCAAAGTATCGGTGAAGATGAAACAGCTTATGAAGATGAAATACCTTGAAGAAAATCAGCAATCATCATCACCATCATTATGCATCTTCATCATCTCACCATTAACCCTCGCAAAACAATTACAAACCCAAATACCTTAGCATTGTCGATCAATGAAAAACCCAAAAAATCTACACAATACACCAAATTCGATCACTGAATGCGTAAGAATGTCTTCAAACAACACTAAAATCAACTATTAATCATTCAAATTACAGGAATATCGCTTACAACAAAATTTCTCAATCCAAATTACAACTCAACTACAACGATCAAAGAACAGACAATCAAATATAAAATCTATACAAAATTCGAACAATATATGCATAAAAACGTCGCAATACAACTCTAATGTCGACGATTACTCATCCAAATTCCAAATTTATCGATGACACCAAAAATCCCCAATTTAATCTTCAAACCCAAACCCTAATTTCAAATAGATGAATAATAACAAGGGAAAACAGACTAACCTTGACGAATCCATGCCGGAATCTTCGTAACTCATCCGTTCACGTCTTCGCTTACTCCGTTACAGTCAGAATCTTCATCGCCACTCACAGAAAAATCGTCGATGTCGACGAGGGAGAGAAAGAAGTTTTCTTCCAGAAATTTTTTTTTGCCCAAAACACATCTCTCCTCAGAGCCAATAAAAACTTAACACGTGGCTTATAAAACTTGTATGGATCGGTTCATAAATAACTTATGCAAGGAGCGATCCATAATAAATGGGCTTTTATTTATTTATTTAAATTATGAAAATGGGTTTACAAACTCTTAACAAACCCATAAAAAACTTCAATAGACATGCTCTTAGAGATGACAAGTGGCTGATTTTAACTTGGTTTTTAAAGCTGATGTGTCTTAAGTGGAGAAGCTTATGTGTCAAACTTGTGGGACACAACTGAATCTTTATATAATAGACTAGATTTTGCGTCCACGCTACGCGTGGATATTTTGTTGATAAAAATTGTATACAATCAATCATATTTTTAAAAATATATTTCTATATTAGAATTTTAATAATATATTAAAAATATTATATTGTTAATATAATTTTTATATAAATTGTGAGGTCTCAACAGTTTTTTTTTTTAAATTTATGTACAATATTTTTTTTTTCAAAAATGTATTATTTGGTCAAATATTTATAAGTTAATATACTCAAACAGATTAAAAATTTTACAAAATAATCAAATACTACTATTTAAACATAGTATTTATATGACGATAAACTATTATACATTCACTTCATCAAATCAAGAAGATAATTATTTTTCATCATTTTTACTTTCATTCCAGTTATATACGTGATCTTAAAAAATAATAAAATAATAATATTTTAAATTTAATCTTTTTTCTTATTTAACAAATACAATTTTTGATATATTAATAAAAAATAAAGTAATAAATACAAATTTTGCTTTGAGATTAATAACAATTTTAAATTCGAAACCAAAAAAAAATTGAATATGAAATGATTAAAATCACACAAAATGTGTGAACTAAATTTATTTCTGTCAATTGGTTGTGTTAACTTTTAAATTATTTTTCAATGAATGCATGTCCACAGATTTGTAAACTGATTCTTACCTCATCCATACTTCACACTCAATATTTTAAATACACTTCACACTTAAAAGTTATAAATTTAATTTTTAAAAATAAATAAATATTATAAAAAATAAATAAATATTTAACAAACGGATAACGGATAACGGATATCCGGTTTCAAATTTTTATATTATCCGGATCCGTATCCGAAATAACCGAATACTTAATTTCACTATCCGGATCCGGATTTGAACTACACGGATATTCAGCTTTTACAGATCGGATAGGACTGGATACCGGATGGGAGATCGGATACCGGATAATAATTCCAGGTCTAATTATACCTCATCTCTTCTAATAAGAATGAAAAATAAATTTCATCATGTTCATTTTTATTCTTGTTAAAGCTGTTTTTTTTAATAAATATATCATTTTTATTTATTTAATAATTTGTTTTATGATTATATTCAGTTTCATCATATTCATTGTCACTTCTTCTAATTATAACTAAATAGACAAAATTGGTATAATTTAATAAATACAAATTTAGAAAATGAATAAAAAAACTGAATAACTCAAAACTAAGAAATTCTTTATTAATCTATTGTAATTCCAAGTCGAATATAAAAATATATTTTTTTCCAATCATTTTTACATAATATATTATATAATATTATGTGGAAATATGTTTTGTATATGTGACAGAAATTTAGATGTATATAAATCATAAATATTATTTATTTGAAATTTTACATGAAAAGCCTTTAAATCAAGTAACTTAAACTTGTATAAGTAGTATATTTTTAATATATAAAAAATAATTTTCTAACTAAAACAGTGATAATAGAGATTTTAATATTATGGTGGTTTATTTTGTTGTTAACGGAAATCTTTTTTTTATTTTTTTAACCATTATATTAGGATTTGGAAACTTTTTTACTTTTAAATGTTGATGATGCCTTAAAAATAATATGGCTAAACTGTTATTAATAATAGAATAGTTTAAATTACAAATTTTTCTATATTGTTTTGTATTATTAATGTAATTTTATAATTTAAAAAAAATTTAAATTTTAATTATTGATGTGGACTAAAAACACTGACTTTTTAAATCTTATGTGGATGTTTTTGGAGGTATATAGCTTCAGCTTTTATTTTTCTATAAATATTTTTTTTGTTAACAATACAGTTTTAAAATTTGAAAATTTTCTTAATTTTAAATATTGATATGAACCAATAGAATTAAAAATTTAAATCCTATGTGGACACTCTTAGAGGTATATAGCTTCAGGTTTTATTTGTAATATATTTATATATTAACGCTGGAAGATCCCACACGAGGTCTGTTGCGGCAAGTGATTTTGGTTTTTCTTCCATATTTTGAGGCTTACGGAATGTATTCTGATACTGTTTGGTTCAGCTAATTGTTACCTTTGTAGTTCAGGTTGGATTGCTAAACCCTTGTCAAATGCCATGTTATTCCAAAGATTTTCCTCGGATACCTCAGTCTCTTTCGTCTTAATGCGGAACCTCTTTCTCTATTTTTAGTAGTTCGTTTTCAAAACTTTTGGGTATCAATCACTTGACATGTTTTTCGGATTATTTGAAATTTATCATTTTTTCAAATCTGGTGGCAAAACTTTAGAGATTTTACGGTCTCTTTTTCAATATCAGTTTGTAGTGGCTTTATTTTCATCGTATTCTTTTTAATTTAGCTAACAGTTAAACATATAGTTTAGTCAAGTGGTTTTTAATTTTACATTGTAATGATTCATTCTTTAGAAATATAACTCTATTCTTTTTTGCTTTTTTAATTGAAATTGTTGTACACACATCAAAAAAACTTAAAATTTATTATAGTTATGTGACAAAAATTTGGATGCTAATGTAGGAGTCTGTAAATATATGTGTATATAATATTTTATTTGTTCTTAGTTATTTATATAATTGAAACATCTCATTTAAATTTAAATTTTCCTATTTTAAAATTATTTATTTCATTTTATTATTATTAATATAAATTGTATATATAATTTATTCATCTTTAATAATTTTTTTAAACAATAATAGAATTTAGAAACTTTTCTATTTTTAATGTTGAGGTGAACCAATAAAAAATTTATACAAAATTTCTTTATTCAACAATAATATTAGAATTTATAAATTTTCTTAATTTCCTTATTTAACACTAATATTAAAATTTGAATTTTTTTTAATTTTGAATGATGATGTGGACCAATAAAATTGTTAATTTCCTTATTCAAAAATAATATTAGAAATTGTAAAATTTTCCTTAATTTTGAGTATTGATGTGGACCAATACAATTGCATTTTAAAATCTTATGTGGACGCCTTGAGAAGCTTATAGCTTCAACTTTTATTAGTATAAGATTTGTGCTTAGAAAAATATTATTTCTTATAATTTTTCTATGTTTTATTGCTTTTTTCGTCTTTTAATTATTTTTAGAGAATAATAAGATAAATAACACTAAGAAAAAAAAATGCTAACTCATTAGATTTTGATATGTGTCAAGTAGAACAATCAGATTTTGATAA